CATTAGCACCTCTAGTAATATATTTACTGAGAAAAATGTTGACGTGTTCAATACTTATTTTACCCACTGTATGGTTTTAGTAAATGTGGTTATTAGAAAAATGGATTTGTTCAAGGACATGATAGTGATTGTAAAATTAGAAGAAAAAAACCCCAGAAAATGTTAAGATTAATCGTATTGTTTTGAATTAAAAGACTTACCTGCTGTCTGTTTCATATTTAACAGCAACTTTGTTAAAACTTTTGCCTAATTCTAAAAAAACTAAATAAAACCAGTTCATTTAGGTCAAGTCATGTTCAAGCACTCACCGCAGCAATCTTCCAAAACACATAATTTACAGAGACATGCACTCTTTAAAGCAACAGGTTGAGTCAAACAGTGTTCTTGTTTTTTGTTCAACATGTTTTATTAATTAATGCTGACAGGGATTGGTTCAGACAAACGTGGCGGCAACAACCGAGGAGCAGAACCAGGCAGAGAGAATCAGTTTCAGAAGGCAGACACTCAGAAACCTGCTTACATACTGTCAGAGGGACCTGCTGACATCAGGCACTACATGCAACCAGAACRCCACAGGACACTTGGTCTCATGTTTTTGTTCTTTTTTTGTTTTTCACAGAATAGAAATCTATAGAGTTCATGTGAAAAGGAACAAAATGCACACTGATCCAAGACGTGGTGAATTGTCCGTTCTGCAGAATGAAACAATACAAATTCACAGAGTGCGGCGTTGTTTTCTGCAATCATTTATCATTTTAACTTTCAAATCCACCCAGTTTCATTTAAAGCAGCTTAAGGCTGGTCTGCTCTACAAACTGCTTTTCAGAATTAACGAAACACGTTCTCACAAATCAAATAACACCTGTGATGATAAAACTTGCTTATTTCAGCAAGATGATGCCTAACCACTTTCTACAAATACTGGCTTTACATTTAGACAATAGAAAGGGAAATAAAGAACTTAATTATGTCTCCTTATTGTAATTTATGGTATAAATAACTTAAGGTAATTCTGTAAACTGTTTTTTTTAAATACTGGGATGACTACGTGTCCACAATACTGCATAAAAAATGACCTAAACGTTAAAAAGAGATTTTATGATGGTTTTCCACACTCCTGTTCACAGGCAAAGAATGGATTTTGATGAGAAAAACACAAAAAAATATTAAATGGCTTCAGGTGGACTTGAAATATGGAGCTATTGATGAAAAAAGTAGCCTAACTTGTTATTTTGTGAACACTTTTACTGGTGTATCTACTCCTTCAACCTGATCCTGTGTGAAACTGTTCAGAAGAACAGAGAAATTCACAAAGAATGTAAAAAAAAAAAAAAGACAACTGTTTTCCAAGAAACTTAAACTAAGGTTGTTATTTCTCTGTATTTTGATATATTGCTAAATTTCTCTCCCCGAGTGGGTCTTTGAGTGTTTTAAATATGAGAATAGAAAAAAAAACTGTTTAAAAACGAGTAGTTGTGGCTTTAGTTTTTCACCTTAACCRTGAAGAACGGTCCTTTGTGTGGATGAGGTCAAACAGAAAGAGACGGTGTTTAGAGTTGGACACGAGGTGTRGGAACCGTTACTGAATGAAAACATGCTGCCTTTTGACAAGAGAGTAAGTCACAGTTACTCCATGGCTTTTAGATCATTTACACTCCGAGGGTCAGGAGGAAGACGTCGTACGATCTTTTTAGTAGACAGAAAAACAAACTCGCGTTCTGAGGTTCTCCCAACGAAGTCATTCGAATAAAAAAAAAAAAAAAGCGAGGAGGGATTTCCACTTCAGGAACGGTTCTCCTCAACCCTACAGCTAGGCACTAAATGTTCTAACCTGCACGAACAAAACAGCCATCCAAAAAAAAACAAAAAAAAAAACAGTGAAGTTGATCAAAAACATGAGCAGGAGTAACGAAATCATGAAACATCATCCCGGTGAAAAACACCAATATCTACACTTCATCTTGTAACGTTCTGGTTCAACAATCATCRGTCTTAAACATCTGTCTCGGATCACCTCAGAACACTCCTGAAGTGTTTGTGTTTGATTTTTYTCATGTTATCGGGCAGACAAATGAAAGGTGACGGACAGCTCTAGTAACAACATGTGAAGGCTTTAGTAGAGGCAGAAGCAGCATCTTAAAGTGTCTGTGAYGTGCACGTCCTACAAACACAAACAGTGGAAACATCACATTAATTATCATTATCTGCTGTCATACACATGCTCTTAATCATTTCATCGTGTTCATCTCTGCAACATGAACTTTTTCCTCGTGATTATGTATTAATATGTAATTAATGTATTTGTATTTATCATTTGATGTCACAGACGCTTTAACTAACGTCATTAAAAAGGCAAACCGATCACCCACCGAGCTTGGGCTCAAAGTGATCAGGAAGTGATTTGGTGATAGAAGAGCTCACAAAAAAAAGGGGTGATGCTGCATTAAAAAATACTGCAGAAATAAAAGTAGTGAAGCTCAGTTGCTTATGGCTAAAATTTCTACTTTCTTTCAAATATTGTTGTTCTCATCCAGTAGGAATTAAACGCACTGCAGTTTAAAAACGGGAAAACATTCAAACTGTTACCAAAAATCAATTTGAATCCAGAAAAAACTTCAGATTTGATCGGATTATGGCTCAATTTTGGATTAACCTCAAAATGTTTTTGCAGTGTAAAGATTTTCAGAGCTAATCCCTATAAGTTTGTGCAACATAAACTTTAGAACATGGAGAACTGTTTTGTAAACAGATTCAAACATAAAAAAAACTATATCCTAAAATATACATTACAATTTTACCAAAAAATAAGTAAAAAAAAAAGTGTCATTAATCCACAATTGGAACAAAAGTGGCCTAAGAAAAATGTCTGGATTGTACTGTACTGACAATATTTTCAAGTAATGTGATCTAATCAGAGCTTGCCAGCAAGCTATACTGTCCCGGTAAACACAAACAAGAACTCCGTCAACAACAACAGCAACAAGATCCGACTAGCCAAGATTTGGTTTCTTGGTTGTGAACTGTGTTCTTTCTGAGCACCGTTTTRCCGTCCGCACAAATAACCACTGGATCTTTTGAAAACCTGAAGAGTAAAAGATATAATCAAACAAACACATCAGCTGCAATAAGCAGTGAGACGAGGCCAGTTACGCCTACTCAGCATTTAAAACTTRGATCTCAAACACAACCGGCTTCCAGTTAAAGAGCTTTGAAAAACACCAGCAACTTATTGCATTTCTCTGAACACAGACATTTAGTTGGGAACAGACGACAGTGTGGATAAGCTTGATCGAACTTTTAAGGCAACACTTCACAATTAGTTTCCCTCTCAGGTTTGTGTCACGAACCGAAGCTAACGCTGTGTGGACATACATAACACTGGCACAGGGATCCTCAGCTTCTCTCCTAACACAGGTGGGGTTACATGCACACGGTTTTCTTAAAAATGACACATATCCAACATTACTGAGGCTAACCTGCCTGGCTCTGCTAGTCCATTGGCTAAAAAGAGATTTACAGGTGTTGCACCACATATTGTGGCCAGAGGGGGCGCTGTTGCAGTTCTACAACAGAACCATGGCCGAAGATGGCCACAAAGAAGAATGTCACGCCAAAAGTGTAGCCTTTGATCAGAGGCTGAAGACACATATGTAATAAAAACAAAAATAAATAAAAATAAAACATGTTGACTGATATACATGGTCACAGAAAAGGACAGCTGCTATCATATATTGTGACTTCACTGTAGCTTGATAAATAGTAAAAATATTTATAAAAGAACTGCTTCTGCTGATTGTTGATTTTTTAAATTGTTTTTGTTGATGTAAACAATGAGTAGAAACAGTTTTTGAACAAATATTTCTACTATTCACCAAGCTATAGTGAAGTCACAATATATGATAACAGCTGTCATATTCTGTGACCATGTAATAATTTAATAACACTCAATATTTCAGTGGTCAAAAGTTATTTTTCTGGTATTAGAGGATGTAATCAGCAGAAACAGTTTGTTAATAAATATTTTTTACTATTTACCAAGCTACAGTGAAGTCACAATATATGATAGCAGCTGTCATATTCGGTGACCATGTATATCAGTCAAAATAGCTTTATTTTTATTTCATTTCTTTTTATTTTTTGCGCATGTCACCTCTGATCACGGGCTACACTTTTGGTGTAACATATTCTTCTTTGTGCCCATGTTCGGCCAGGTTCTGTTGTAGAACCGCAACAGCGCCCCCTCTGGTCACAATATATGATGGTCACAATATATGGTGTAACACCTGCTAACGGTAAAAAAAAAACTACTGATAAAAGCATCCGTGTAAAAGTTCTTGWTTGTGAGATTTGTTGTTTGTATCGGCGACTAAACAAAAGACTAATTTAGTCGATGTTAATACTTTTACTAGATGACACGAAAAGGCAATTATTGACTACAATATAAATAAAAAGTAATTCTTCATTGGGACATTTGCAATTGTGAATTTTAATTTTATCTTAATGCTTCTAGCAGCACACGCTAACAGCTGATGAATAATGATGAAACAAACTGAACAGAAGTGAAATATAGACGTTTCTATTGCATTTTAAATGTGTCTAATACTCTCAAAAACTATTACAATTTCAAATTATAGGTTATTTTTTAGAGAAATTTATAAATTAAAATTCAAAAAATTCAAACACTTATTAGTATTAGTTTATTACTGAATATTTACGTCTGATAAAATAAGATTAAAAAATAATACAAGAGAAAAGGACAATGATTTGAATTTGATAAAAACGTTATAATGTTGCCAAAATTCTGCGAGAAAATTTATCATTACAAATTTTACTGTTTGCTTAATCCAAGCAGTTTGTTTCTGATGACTGTCTGAGCTGTTCCTGCTTTCTTCAGTTCCAAGTGGTTTAATTTATTATTACTTATCAGCAAATTAGTAACTAATAATATGAACTTTGCAGTGCATTGACTATTTTTGTTCAATCACAGTTTAGAATATAATTTCACGATTTAAAAAAAACATCCATCGAGGACATGTTTGTAAAGAAGTTATTCATTTATGTTAAAAAGTTATAATAATTTTCTTTTTTTTTTAAAAGTATCTCAAGTAAACATCTCATTAGAATCAACACGAGCTTTCTCAATCATGTTTTGATCTTTGGTTAAACAAATTAATTTAATTATTTTATACTGACAGTAATTCCATCACTAAGGCCATTTTTACGCCGGATTGTTTTCAAAATGGAGATTTCTCGTTACGTTTGTGTACACACAACAAGTTTCTTTAAAGAGGAAAACATTTTTTTAAATGCTTTCAAAGTGGAAATAAAAAAAACCCTGTTGATGGTGCATCTGCAGACTGAAGGTTGGAGCTTTTGAAAGACTATGAAACTTATTTTAAACATGCTACAACAGAATGTGGAGGGCTTTTTGGAGCATTTTTCTATGATGTCCAGTTTTATCTTGAACCTATCGTTACAACTTGGAAATATAAATAACAGATGAAAATCTGAGCAGTATCAAAGAATAAATGAGTTACAGATGTWTTGTGAGAATGATTACCCAAGGTAAGAATGTTCTTTGTATTTTGATGTTAATATGGGTATTTTATACCTCGTCTACACAAGTACTTTTTTTCATTATATATTTTTTTCTGTTTTACTTTTCCTCCCTCTGTATACKATACTATAATAGTTGTATTATAGTTTCTATAAGAAAGGAAAATCGTAAAGATCTAATTAATCTTGGTCAAAGATCCTCCTAAAACGACTATATTTACTGATACAGGCACAATTTCCTCTGGTTGTGTGAAAAACAAAGATTAATTTTGACAGGATTCGATGGTTAAAACATTTTGGTCACAGACTGATAGTGTGCAGATTTAAAAATAGGCTGCTACGCCCTTGTTTCTAAAAAATCTCTGTGTTTCCTCATCTACACTGATACACCACAAGGAGGTTGTTTTTTTTAAATCTCCACTTCGGAAAATTGAGAAAAATCTCAGTTTTTCCTCACGACGAACTCCAAAAAAGAGCTGCAAACGTAGCAGGAAATAAGTTTTGTAAATCGTCTGCAGTCAATGGCGCCTAAACTATTTTTTGAGCAACAGATTTGTGATCGTAGGAGATTAAAGCAAAGTTCTCAGTTGCCACAAAGCTTTAGCTCGGCTGCTCACAACACTATCTCTGAACGCCTTTCCAATGAGATTAAAAAAGACATTTATGAAAGCAATCAGCTCCTGCGCCAGCTTCAAATATTACCATAAGATGTAGAATTGCAGGTTGGTGTGCATGTAAACCCATAGATACTGTAGATGCCAACACTACGCACCGTTAGCTCTGAATTCATACCCTGTTTGCCACTGATGCTGATAGAAAAGAGATGAAACACACTGAGGAATACTGAACCATTACCCCAGCAGCGAGGTGCTGACTCTTTGCACGGCCTCCTTCTCACAAATCTGATCCACCCCAACGCTTAAGCTGTTTTAAAAGCTTTTTAAGTAAAAAGTATCCAGAGTATATACAAACGTGACCAGTTCAGACYTGAAACACTCACGTCTGTGTGATTCTGTCCGTCGCTTGCAGAGAGTTAACTGTAGGCTGAAAATTTCTGAAATTTCTCTGCACTTTCACAGTTTTTTGATGAGAAATGTGTCTTTTTCTCGGTTTCATAGTATTTGTTTTGTCCTCGGCGTGGCGGCTCTCTACGACTCCAAACCTTGATGCTCTTCAGGCTTTTCGCCCAACGAGACGGCCGTTCGTCCAAGTTGCTGAGTCAAACGATCTGTGTGAGATAAAAGAAAAATAACTTGTCCTCCCCCTTTAGATCCTCTCAAATCCACCTCCCCACTCCAAGGGAGGGGGGAAAAAAAGGTTTAGAAGCCACTAAATTCAAAAGCAACAATCATTTGTCCGTTTATATTTGTTTTGTTTTTAAGTCTTTATTTTTCACATCACTGCCACTCCATAAAGCACTTTGTGACAAGCCTGGTGATTAAAAGCGCTTTGTGTGAAGTCAGTCTGAATCATGAAGAGAACCTGATAAGATGTTTTTGATGAGAGGAGAAATCAAATCAGCCGTTGAGCATAAGGTGTGGTTTTTGTTGATTGCCAAGCTGGTTGACAGGAAGACACACAAGGAGGGTTCTGGTTCTTACAGATGGTGCATTCTGGGATTGGTTCATTACCGATGGAGCATTAAGCCACTGGCTGATGTCAGATGAGAGGCTGCTTCTTTCCTCTTCGGCTCTACTTTTACTTTTCATCCTTGTTTTTGTTTGTTTGTTTCCGCCCGTCTGTGCAGTGAGTGGTTGGTTGGAGTATAATATGGTTCTGGACTGAAAGGAGGCAGAGCACTTCCTCCTCCGGTCACAGACAGGAGGTACGACGTAGCAGCAGTCTATGACGGGTTGGGGGTCTTCAAGGCATCCACTTTGGTCTCCAAGTCTGTGATCTGTGGAAACAACACAACGGGAGAAAACATCAAYATAAYTCACTAGCTWTGTTTACATGCACAAMATTTTTTGAKYGGATTGAAATGTATTGGGATTAAGTAATCCGAATGTACTGTTTACATGGACACAATCCGATCATGAAAAGTGTTTACAWGCACCAGACGGACATGCGCAGTGTTGTAAACTTTCAGCTCTACTTCCGTGTTACAAACGTAAACAAAGCTCCTCTGTGCGCTCAGGACGGACCATGTCAGTTTTTAATAATGGTAAAGACGTCGTTACTCCTCGGTTGAGCTGCAGATGAAGCAATACGTGCTTTTTATTTTTATTTTTTGCGAAGCAACGTCTGCTGTTTGCCTCCTTTTTCATCTGTTAAGAGAGCGAGGAGGAAAAGTTCTGCACGGTGCAGCGCAGCTGGAGCGCTGCTGTCCCACCTCCTCTAACCGGGTGGATGAAAGTCAGCAGACCTGCGCACAGGTCAGTTTTCTACAATCAGAATAAGATGATCGAGCTCAATCAGATCACAATAATCGGAACGGGCTGTTTACATGACGTATTTTTATTCCGAACGGCCGTTTAATCCGATTACTTTTGTCCATGTAAACGTAGCTACTGATGAGGACAAAATCTCAAGGCTAAAACATCAGAAGATCTCGCAAACAAACAAACATTGGACAAAAAGTCTTGTCATTTAATCTGGTGAAATTATCACTGAAAATGCTGCGAGCATGTCGCCGCCCCTCAGCCAAGCCACGTCAGAAAGGCAGCTGATGACTCTGAAGCTATGTGCTGAGAGGAAGAGGCCATGTYTCAATTCAGGGGCTGCATCCTCCTGAGTGCACATGTATCCACCRCTCGTGTCGCTGCTCCTTCTCAAGCCAAAACAAAGGCTGCGTCTGAGTATACTTCCCAACCGAGGATAGCCCAGGGTTCACTGCAGCGTCAGCAAACCCAACTGAAAAAAAATAACCCCACCGTGTTCTTTAAAACGAGTTAGAATTAGTAGTATGTATGTATGTATGTATGTATGTATGTATGTATGTATGTATGTATGTATGTATGTATGTATGTATGT